GCGGGGCCAGGCGAGTGCGCAACCGCGGGCTCCTGCTCGCCCCGCCCTTTCACCCTCCGGCCAGCTCAACAGTGCAGCTGCGCCTCAGTGCGCTTGCGTGAGGCAGAAACTGGCGCGTTGCCCTGTGACGGACGGCTGCAGCTCAGTGCGCCTACGCGGCGGAGGCCCTGGCGGGGTGGAGGGTTCCAGCCTGACCCTAAGGAACCCTGGGGCCCCAGACGCTGGCAAAGCTTCTTTGTTTTGGGGTGCGGGGATCACAGGTGTGTGCCACCGCACCACGTCCAAAGCTCCTTAAAAGAGGGCTCGCAGGTGGTGGTGAGTGGACCTGCGCCGCGGTTCTGCCTCACCCACATTCCCCCCCAGGGCAGCTCCCCCAAGGCCTCTCCCCGTGACCCAGAGACCACCTTGGAGACAGAGGACAAACTCCGTCCTGAGCTCTGAATCTGTTGCTTATTAAAAGCACGGTGTGTATTTTCTTCTGAAGCAGTCAAGGATTTAAAAGAGTTACTTCATTTGGGCCTGTACATATGCAGAACAAAGCTAGGACTTTGTTTTAATTTTTTTTAGTTCCTGGGATCGAACTCAGGACCTTGCACTTGTGAGGCAGGCACGGTGCCATTGAGCTAAACCTCTGACCCTTTTTTCTTGATTACCTCAAAACTTTGGGTCAAAGCCCTTCTAAGCTCAGGGATGCAAGTCTTTAACAAAGTTGGCTATCCCTGAGTGTATAGGGCCTATCTGAACTCCTTTCAAGGCTGAAGACATCAAGATGACGGGTTTACGGGGATATTCAACTACACCCAGCAGTCTCCGGTGTTCCCCTGCAAGGGCGGCAAACCTAACACACAGCTGGCTGTTTGTTACCATTGAAAGCTCTGAAAGATTGCTGTTGCTGCAACCCACCAAGACTTCCCCCAGTGAAAGCCATCATGTGGTGGAGACAACTGCCCCTTCCCCAGGTCTGACTAGAACTGCGATCCTGGTAACCAGGCCCCAGCCCTCCCAGCAGAGCTTCCAGTTCATGGATCTGTAGCTAGCAGACCAGTCTGATCCTCCCCTCACTTCCTCATTTTGAAATCTCTTCCCTATTTTCTCTGACCTTCCTTGTTGACAATCTGGCTCAGTCCTTGTCAGAGCTGGGTCCCTTTTGCTTTTAGTCCCTTACTGTTTTACTTCCCATTTAAAGCTTTGCCTGTAAAATTCATGCCAATTGCCTGTTTTATTTTCCATTATCATAGATGCAGCGTGCTAGTTGATGATAGGACATTTTTGAGGATGTATTTCTTTCTTTTTTTTTTTTTTTGGTACTGGGGATCGAACTCAGGACTTGTGCTTGCGAGTCAAACATGGTGCCACTGAGCTAAATCCCGGGCCCATATTTATGTACATTGAGAACATTAAAGACAAATTCAAAATTATCTTAAATTTATATTACTGAGGGGCCAGGGGCCTGGGATTTAGCTCAGTACTTCTGCCACCTGCCTCACAAGTGCAAGGACCCGAGTTCAATCCCCCTACCAAAAAAAAAATCTATATTACTGAAAGCATCGCTTAAATTCTGTGAGAACCTTGATCCTTAGTGTCAGGTCTGACTTAAGTGAGTCCTTCACAAATGAACAGGACAAGCAAACAGGATGCTTCTAGCAAACAACAGCCTCTTCTCAGTAAATAGGACAAATAGACTCAAAAGGAAGTATAAACTACCCTAGTGCCGGGAAGTCTAGTAATTTGTACACACTTGAGCAGACCATCCTGGTGTGGGACTGCATAACTTTGTAATCTTAAATTCCTAGTCTCAACTGTGATTAATGTAAATTAACAGGTGAACATTTAGTAGTTTTGGGTGAATAGATAAAATTGTCTCACTGTCTGCCCGGAAGGAATGTTTTGAAAACCTTGGGACATTCTGTAAGCATCTGTTATAGACCCCCACCCTGCCTATCCCCTTGTAAAAACAGCCTAAACCCCTGAGCTGTTGCCTCTCTGAGCTACTTGGCTCCAGGAGTGCTATCTGGCCAGACTAATAAAGGTCTGTTTTCCAACATGTTGGGTATGTTCCTTCATGGGTGATTCTTGCTGCTCCTCAAGCTCCTGGAGCAATCGCTAGGCTATAGGCCCAGTATCTTGGAGGCCCTTTCAGTTGGTCAAGCTCCTTGGAGTGGTAGTAAGGCCCTAGGTCTTTCACTGGGTCATCCAAGTCATAAATATTTCACCCAGATTCCCGAGCTCTTCAATACCTATATAAGCTCAGTTCCTCTTTCATTTAGCTGCTCTGTCTCTCAGTGTCAGCCCATCCTCTCATGGATGGAGTCTCTCCCAGCCAGCTGCCCCCCACCCCCTCTCTCTTTATCTCCCAGTGTCAGCCATCCACACACAGATGTGATAAACTCGGCTTTTCCCAGCTAGCTGCTAGAATCTCCAGATTTTTAGTCCCTGGTCACTGGAATAAACTTTCCTTTCAAAAGCCTATTTTCGACAAGTGGATTATTTATAACATAGCAACGGCAGAATGGGGATTTGGGAATTGTTGCTGGAAGACAGAGAATCGTCTGTGCTTACCTGGATCTGTTACCCGCTCCTAATCTTGTTCTGTCTGTTTGACCCAGCTAAATTTCCACCCTGCCCTGATCTTGTTCATCTTTGAGTACAAGATGTCTGGAGGCCACAGGTCCATCTTCGGGGATCAGCAGGAACTTCTGGGATCTAAAATTGCCGTAAGTGACCCTAGACAACCTCTAATTTGTTATACTCTCATCTGCGTGCTAAAGACACTCCAGTGCTGTGGCAGGTGACCGTTCCCATGACCATAATGGGAAAGATTCATAAAAGGAATGAACAGAAGTGGCGCCTGAATCCCCAGGAAGACCTCTGCCCCTCCCGGGAAACACAGATGTTCCTCCCTCCTTACCCTACCCGTCTCCTCTCAGCTCTTTTACCCTGTATCTATAACCTCCCAAACCCCAAGGGTAGAAAAGCTGGTTTGTAAGTTTATCTCCTACCTCTATTCTTGGCCAAGATTAAAGTTCTGTGGTTTAATTTGTGTTTGGTCTTGTTATTGGTTTTACAGTTCCAAGAGGGAAAAAGTTCAGGGTGACCTTGGTGACATGCGCTCTGTGCCTGTGTGGCCACCATCCTAGTTTAGAAGGAGCAGTGACTGGGATTGGTGTGATCCTTACATGGTGGGCTGTGTGCCACCTTTCCCTGGCCACGTCCTCTGGCCGCCCCATGCCACTGGGACACTGTGGAGAGCACCACAGTGAGGGGACAGGAGTGGGACAGTGGGCTGGCTGGGCAACTGCTGTCTTCTCTGCTCCCTCCCTGTGATGGGCTCACTGGTTGGAAGTTAGGCTGCTGGCCACCCCGGACAGTGAGGAGATGCTGCCTCCTGGCCAGGAGGGCACTGTGGACCTCTGTGTATCCTGCAGTCTTTGTGCGGGGACCTAAAGCAGTGTCAAGGCCAACCAAATCCGGAAAAGAACTTCCATTTGGGAACAATCAATGGGACTGCAGGTGGGCGTGGTGGCATGCGCTGGGAGGCTGAGTTGGGGGCCAGGCTGGGATATGCACAGAGCTTCTGTCTCAAAACAAACAAACAAGATAAAGCAGGCTGTTTCCTGAGATTGGCCTGGGGGACTTTCCTGGAGATGCAGAGATGAGGGTTGACCGCTTTCAGAGGGAATGTCTTTTTCTCTTGGGCAAGGTGCAGGCCCCTCTGTCCCACTCCCCAGAGAAGGCTGTGAGGTTGCACTTGGTCAAATCCCAGCTCCACCTGTTCCCACCAGCAGGAATTCAGCCCAGTCCCGTGGGCTGGGCCTCGGTGCGCTTCAGTTGCCACAGCTCACAGTGAAAGGAGGCAAAAGAAAGCCAGACCGGCAGCCTGGGGCGGGTCGAGGGTCTCAGGTCACAGCTGATGTCCACTGCCCTGCCCACCTCTTTAGCTGGGCTAAGGGCTCAGCAGAAGCCAGGCCCAGGGCACCAGGCCAAGCGAGGCAGGCCTCACCTTCCCTCCACTCTGCAGGAAATGACAAAGCTCCCTCCCGACCCTGCACAGGGCAGAGGCCCCCCGAGGCCCTGCAGCTTGTCTGCACCACACTTTTCAGGGCAAGTACTTTGTGGCTTCATGGGATTCAGTCCTACAGAAGAGGTTTGGAATCCACTCCCAGGAGCGGGCGGGCACTGCCCTTGGATACAGCACGTCCATCCCAGCAGCACGGCACTCAGCTCTGATTCAGGGTGCTCGCGTGACCGCAGGGTGGGGCCTGCAGACAGATTCCAGGTCCTTTCCCAAGGCACAAACTATGAACTGCAAAGTGTACACACAGTGGTGGGGGAAAAGTAGCTGTGTTTATTGAAGGTCACAAGCACATCGCACACTGCAGATAAACCAGGCTCCTAGGCTCAAGAGCAAGGAAAAGGGGCTATTGTGTGCTTTGGTCTGGGGTCCTATGGGAGCTCCAGGGTGGTGAGCGAGCTCACATGGGTGGAAAGAGCGAATCGCTCAGCCCGAGTCCTCTCTGCACTCCTTGGAGGACCTTGGGCATTTGTAAACAGTGACCCACTTGGGGGGACACCCAGTCCACCCTATATCACATGCTGTCTGCAGCAGCATTTGAAATATGACTAAGGCTCAGGACAATTTGGCAATGCAGAATTCCAAGGAAATAATTGCTATAGAACAAGTTCCAGTTCTATCCGCACAGAAGTAAAAATTTCAAAAAGGAAGAATGGAGTGTGACATGGGTACAGGATGTGCAATATGTGGACCACCAAATAATGCAAGGGAAACATTGTAACTCCCAACTACTAGATTTCTGAAACATGATCTTTAAAACCAAAGAATGAATTCTAGGAACAATTGAGGTTAGGAGTAGGAAGAAGGTAGGCAGACGTGGTGGCGCAGGCCTGTGATCCCTGCACTCAGGAGGCTGAGGCAGGAGGATCACGGAGTTCGGGGCCAGTTGGGCTGCATAGTGAGTTCAGGGCTAGCCTGAATTACAAAGGGAGACCCTGACTCAAAAAAAAAAAAACAAAAAAAACAAGGGCCAGCGATTTAGCCCACTGGTTCTGCCACCTGCCTCACAAGCACAAGGACCTGAAAAAAACCGGCATCTGTCAAAGATCACTCCACACACCGACAAAGCTCATATGAGAGATTTATTGTAGAGCTGCTGTGGCACAGTGACCTACTCAGCGAAGGAGAAGAAGAGAGAGCGAGCTGGTGGAAGGGGCTTGGTTATATGGGGGGGGCTGGTGTAAGGGGTTGGGGAATTGCATCAGCTGCGCGGGCAGCCACTCAGGGGTCATTATTTGTGGTCCGGTCCTTATATGAACAAGTCTTGCTCATGTGTTGGTTTCGCTTATGGACGATGATGCATGATGTAGGAAATGGAAATTTAAGGTATAAAATGTGGGTCGCTAACCAAAATGGCGACAGCCATGTCAATGTAGTTATCTTATAGGACCCAAGTTTGACCCCGATACCAAAGAAAAAAACCAAAAAGAGTAGGAAGATTTTATTGAGAGAAAGATAGTTTCTGTCTAAGAGAGACAGAAGGGAGACCAGAAAGGGGGCTGCCCACCCACCATGCTTCTAAAAGATGTCTTATTGAGCAAAGCCACAAGATGAGGCATGAATGAAGTAGGACAAAAACTACAGTCAACTAGTAAGATTACAAGTATAGTCTCTTAGGTAACATCGATCCAATGGGAAATCACAGGGTGGGTACTGTAAGATCCTCCCAGGGAGGAATCCCACCACTCTGAGTCCGGGACTCCGCGATGCACCATAAACACCCCGGAGAGACGATTCTTGATGCAAAACACAAGAGGTCTTTATTCCAGCGCCCTGGGGCTCAGCTCATAACCCTCGCAGGGGCAGAGGAGCTGAGCCCCGAAGCAGGGTAGATACACAGTTTTTAAAGAAAAAAACCACAAAGCTATAGGGGAGGGGGAATTCTGAGAAAGGGGGGGGACTTCGGTGGGGGATCATTTACAGGAATGTTTAGGGCTAGGTCCGGTTGTTCCCGTACCAGATCCTTATCTTGGTTCCTGTTCAGAAATGGTTAATGTGACCTTCTGGCCTGTCATAGTTAGCTGACTCTGCTAGGGGTTGGGCTACTGGAGCTTCTTGAAAACTTTTCTAACAGTACCAGGGCACAAAACTATGGTCAATGAAGAGTATTGCAACAAGTATGATCACTTAGATAATATTGATTAATTGCATCTTGGCCTTTTGGTTAAGATCAAGTGTAATAATATTGATGAAATGGGGATCCAATGGGGAAGCAAGTCACACAGCCATTTCCAGGGAGGAATGGCTAGCTAGGAAGGGTTTGGTCCACAATTAAGGTGCTGGAGGTCTGTTTAGGATATAAGTCACTGCTATTTATTCCCAGGGGAAGTAGACCGGGTGTGGTTTTTTTATAATGCTAACTTTCAGTGAATGCGCCTCAGCCTTGTCTAACTGCCTCATAATTTGTAGGTAATTTAGCTGTCTGAATTAACAGAGAAGGAATTTTTAGGATGAATGAGGAAGAGAATAAAGGACTTTTTCTTTGCATAAAGGAATTTATCAGGCAGAATTCTAAAAGTACACACTCTAAAAAATAGCATGTACTTATGTGGGATTTGGGGTGGAAGCTTTTACAACTTGTAAAAGAGGGAAGAGAAAAGTCAGGGATTTAGCTCAGTGGTTGCACTGCCTGCCTCAAGTGCAAGGGCTGGAGTTTGGTCCCCAGTACCAAAAAAAGAAAAAGGGGAAGAGAGGATATAATTTATAGATGAAGCTGGGCGTGGTGGTATAAGACTTAAGTCTCACTTTTACTCCTGGAGCGTGAGCAGCCAAGAGGCTTCCACGATGCTGGGCTCAGAAGCGCAGTAAGGCTCCAGGAGCTTGTCGGACAGCGAGAGTCACCCAGGAAGGAACACACCAGGCAAGTTGGCAAATAGACCTTTCTTAGTCTGGCCAGATGGCACTCCCCAAGCCAAGTAGCTCAGAGAGGCAGCTAGCTCAGAAACAGAGGCCATTTTATATAGGGCTAAGGGGGGGGATTTACACTTAAAACTTACAGGAAGAGGACAAAGGCAAAGAATCAGTTGATCTGAGCTAGTGGTCATCAAGCATATACTTGACCGTCACGTACTGTGAGAGCCTAACTGAACCAGAGCGACTCCATGTTGACCAGCAAACAACCTAGAGACTGTCGCTCCCCCCCATCCCTTACAGGATAACTAATGATTGATTGTGAATTGTTGGGTGGCTGCTTTGAAGTAGCTGGGAGGCTAGATGGAAACTGTAGTGAACACAGAGACCCAACATAAATCACACCACTCCTTGCTTGCCTGTAGTGGAATGTTCTGAACTTTGTAATCTAAGTTGAAAATGGAAAAATGGATAATCAATCTGCTGATCATTAGTACGTGACGGTCAAGTATATGCCTGATGACCACTAGCTCAGATTAACTGATTCTTTGCCTTTGTCCTCT